ACGTACTACTTACCGTCTCTACGTACACGACCGACTATATATTATATATATATATATATATATATATATATATATATATATGTATATATATATATATATCCTTTTTGAGGTTGTATATCAACTCTCCACCTGTTTTTTGTTAGTAGAATCGGTAGACTTAACATAAAGGGACTTCTCCCAGCTGTGCGTCGTGAGCAATGCTGGCATCTGTTTACATAATGTTATTGTGTATTTGCCCACGTCAGGGAAATCTGTGAGCAAACTACTCACAAAGCATTGTTGATTTATTTTTAGAAAACTGAAGTATGTATACAACCTTTTTATTGGTCTAGAACACGGTGATTGATCTTCGCAGATAAGATGAAAAAAGGTGGCACCCATTCGAAGATAGAAGTGCATAATTTTATGTATGTGCTAGCTACCAAATTTTTATCCATTTCGATCAAAAGAAATACTTCGTTCAAATGTGAACACGTTGACGAAGTGACCCTTTAAAAGTGAATAAGACAGCATAGAAAACCTTGTATGAATGACCATATATTAATCGTTAAGAATACTGTGTTGAATAATCTCAGGAAAACTCACCTAGCATGGATCCTATTACCGCCGTAAAGGACAATGACCTCACAATGGTGCAGCGTCACATCGAGAAAACCGCAGAGCCGGATATAAGGTAAAATGTGAAGTGTAACTGCTTGACAACTTCTGCTGCTAAATATAATACAATTACTAGCACCACTGAATATATGCACACAAGGGGCAACGCACCAGCTGACATTTCAGAGTGACACGTTAAATTTAAAATTTAGGCTCAGGTACATCACGCTTATTGAGCAGCATGTCTTTAGGACCAAAAATCAATCTATATATAGCCAGATATAATATATAAATATATAATGGATATATCTATATATATATATATATATGTATGTATGTATGTATGTATGTATGTATGTATATATATATATATAGTGTGTGTGTGTGTGTGTGTGTGTGTGTGTGTGTGTGTGTGTATGTATGTGTCTGTGTGTGTGTGTGTGTGTATGTGTTGTACATATATTTACTTAATACTCGATTTATATACATAAAGTCTTGGATATCGGTACATCAAAGTATACGATCGGATTGAATCGATATATCATTGTTATTGTGAGCGAAACATTTCGTTTCCGTCTTCAAAGGACTCTAATTTACCATCATACTACGCTGAAAATACACAACAGATCAGAGTGTGAGCAAAAGAAAGAGGAGCTCAGACTGATGGTGGGTGAAAGGTATCGGGACATGATTGACGCGGCTGATACTATCCTGGATATGCGAGACAGTGTGACATCAGTAGTCCATTCCATCGAATCGTTGTTGGGCCATTGTCAGAAAATTGCGTCCAGCAGTACAAACCCAGCTCACGAGTAAGTCAAAATAGGGATGATCATCAGTCGCTGATCTGAGTGGTCATATAAGTTGTTTGCGGGCTAGGCTGTGCGGCTATAATGCTGTCAAAATCTGCTAAACTGATATGTACTGTCATGCACGCTCATGGACTCTGAGTTTGTTTTATGTACTTGCGTATCCTTGTCCACTGTTTGCGACAGACTTTTACGTAAACGCCCAATCGTCCACGTGGTTCTCCTTGTGAGCTGTCGTGATTCTGCCTGCTCTAGTGCCGAACGACAATAATTGAGATTTGGCATTGTGATACGATTCAACGCACTCTCTCTCTGTCGCTGCATTCTGTTCTGTACAATGAGACTGCCGTATGGTACTAATGTTAAATAATTACTATGCACAGGCAAGTGCAACCAGCACTACATAGTCATGGGCGGTATGTGCTGAGTCGGCGATCAATGACACAGATCAAGTCGGATACCCAGCGCAACATCTTCTACTCTGTATCTACCCAGGTGTGTGCACGCAAACAAATAGCTTTAACAAACGTGTGGCAAGACACATTACCTCGGAACGACATGCTATCGCCATATCACATATGTGATCGGGGAATCGGTTGTATGCCAAGTCTTCCTTTCCTGCCCGCAGTCCCATGTCGAAGCACAATCAAGTGTAGTATTGTACAAGTGCACGTTGGATCTTCAAGCTTGGGCCATTGCGATACTTCTTTATTTAGAATATGTCCATACTGTGCTGATTTCGCTTTCCTCGCCTGCACTGGCACGCGTGTTAGCTCGTATACTGATTGTTTCTATAACATCACGTCGACAGATGAAGCTTTTGGTGGACGCGCCGGAACATTTGTGGAACGCATTGGAGGTACGTACACTATGTGCTTGGCTCGCTACTACTACGCTGTTGGTTCAGAGGCTCAAGCCATGCTCTGAATATCAATCACACCTCAACTGCCTATCCATGCCGACTCACTTGTCTGTCTAGTAAGCTGTGCAGAGTTGTGTTCATACTATCAATTCTGTATTGCAATGACTGCGTGATTTTATAGCCGGGCATTATGGATGCCATGTCAGCATATGCGAGCATCTGTGTCTTCATTTCTCGCGCTCTGCTACATTCGAGTGCGTTCGTAACCCAACCTCGTATGTAGTCTACCAATGTACACGTATGTATCTCAACCTCATATGTAGTCTTCCATTGTACACGTATGTAACCCAACCTAATATTTTGTTGCAGATAAAACAATACCTCAAGGCTGCTAAACTCTATCTGCTGTCGGAATATATATACAATGTACTGCGGCACAACCAGTCTATCTCGTCCTCGCTTCGGAGCCATTTCCCGATTCTTCATACCCAATGGGATTCTATGAGTGGTCTCAAATCGGTATGTTGGGTACAAGTTCATCATCATCACAGGCAAAGTACAAATGCGCTCTCTGGTCTATCGTACGGAAATCGGATATCGTTGAGTTCTCATTGCTAATTGTCGATTCACTGACAGTCTATTTAGAATGATCGTTTGAAAGTCGAAAATATCGCGTCCTGAGTCTGTGTAACGTAGTTGTGTATTGCTCTACTAAATCGGTAGAGGTACTCGAGAGAGCGCTCTGTGTTGCAATCTAGAGCAGGACGTCGTCTATTTACGGGGCACTAACCAATGTTACATGGGGTGAAAGATCATGTGTACATACATCATTGATTCGGCCCTCTATTGATGTTCATCACCTGCCTTTGATGGTATAGGAAATTGCATCGAAATGTGCCTTGGAACTACGTCACTGCCACGTGCGAGTGGAGCATGTGGCATCGAATCTACTGTCTCTGATCCTATTGGACGAGCTTTCCCCCACGGAAATATTAACCAAACTGCTCGAAATCCGATTAGGTGTGGATCGCCGTTTACGCATATGTTCATAATTCGGTTTGAATGTAGATCGATCTGGGAGTGGATTCTCTTACTTGTACGAATATAGGCGTTCGCTGCTGTAACATTGTGCTTGTAAACATATATTATGCTCTAAGTCAGTGGGCGTCTCATGTTGATCTCTCGTGGCGCTTTTTATTTCGAGCCATTTCACTTGATGTAAACTGACAATGGAAGGGTACTGAGTGGTAAGCAACTAGATACATAGGCCATACCAGACTGTCCCGTACAAAGTGTCTGTCTTAATCTGTGCATTGTTATTTTTGTTACTGCTTAAGGTTTGCGATGGGTGCTGCTAAGTATGTCTGCTCATTCATTGTCCTTATCTTGTTTCATGCGATCTATTTGCAACATAACACATTCTATCGACCACCCCACCATTGTGCACTTCTTATCAAAGCGTATTCCACCAGATTTTTATAAAGATAAATCTCTATCCCCTAGACTGCTTGTAATGCTTGACTTTACTTTACCAGGGTCAATTAAAGACACGCTTTCTCCGGCAGCCAGTCACAATCCGGTGCACCTTCGCTTACTGCACTGCGTAGAGGTTGTGCGACTGACCATCGATCAGATCTTCCCCATGTTCGTCGGTGGTGCAGGTTTGTGATGTCTCATTCCCTATGTGTACATTTGATTCGCCAGACAAACCGGTTGGTACTCTGCTCATTGGGCCCGTACATCTACCGCTGGTCACTTGCTTTGACACGTGTCGTCAATGACATGTTGCTGCCATTTGGTGGTTGTATACATTTAGTTTACTGAAAGCATCGATTGGTAATCGGCTCGTGCGTTTTTTTGCTTCTAATCGCATCAGTTGGATCGATCGCATCCATCTGCTCGAGCCAAAGGAAGACTCTGATGTAAACTAACACAGCTCGAATGTTTTCACTGTCACTGTCGCCCCCATAGATGGAGTGCTCCCATTGTTGTATCAGTACCTTAAGCAACACACGGCAGAGCGGGAGCACCGCACGAAGGAAGAATTCCAACAGATAGATATGGCAGCACCGGTATGTAGAGACTGTCTGTTGTGTTGGAGGTGTATGGTTTGAACTATCTTCACTTGATTGCCTATATTCGATATCTGAATGACTGCTGGTTCAGATTCTCTCGTCTTGATCTTCTCCTGCGTTGAATTTGGATGACGGTGGTTTCACCGGCACAGCCGTTGAAGTAAAGGACTTTTGTCTCGGTCGTTTGGGTCACCGTAGCTATCTCCCACCTTTCGCCACGTCCAATCACCCATCGTATTTCCGTTTTTCTTCGCATTCATAGCCCCCAGGTTCCGAATCCGACATCAGCAACGCAACACTCAGTGAACTATTTGGCTACAATTCGAACACGCTGACACTCTTCAAACACCTGCCGCTTTTCATCCAGTCATTCCGGCCCTCACTTCCGCAGAAGCGCCATGTCAAGGTGTCGCAAAGTTTCTCTTGCAAGCTTGTTTGGTGATTGCTGTGTGTGTTGGTGTTTTTATGATATGTTGCTTCGTATATGTGTTGAGTAAGCTATAGTTGTACGTATGTGTGTTGCTATTTATGTCACCGTTGTCCTATATCCACTATAATCCCTCGAATACTGTTTGTCTTCGATCTTGCAATATTGGCATGTGTCACTGTATGTACACGCACAAACATTCGCTTTAGTGCTCGCATGCACATCAATTTAATCGGTCTTGTATGTTCTGGGTAGCGATTTGTTTTTGGTGATAGCATACATATAGGGTGGCTTGGGCATCACTACAAACACAAACCCTTCATAATCCATGAAAGGGCATATGGTGTGTACCTTAAGGGTCAAACTCATATGCCGTAAGGGTTAGACACGCCCCACCATTTTGCCTCCCACCCATGCTTTCAACGGGTTAATGTATCACAGGTATCTCCCGCCTCTCACTCATGCTTTCAACTGGTTAATGTATCACAGGTACCTCTGTCTGAAGTGCGTGAACTGTGCCAGCAGTGGGTGGTGGCCTGCACAGACGCCATCGCACACGGTGTGCCTCTAGTGCTGCCCGCACACCGCAACACTCCCACAGACTCATCAACAGAAGCCATTACGGACTCAGCGGTGGAGGCAGAGGAAGGGGCGCACATGCTCACGCTATCGGAGTTGAATGCGTGCCGACAGTATATACTGCGTGTCATATCGTACTATTGTGATCCGAACGCGCCACAGAATCCGGCACGAGGTATTGTGGGGTGGTAGTATGAGTGTGCATATCTTATTGTGGGGTGGTAGTATGAGTGTGTATGTCCTATTGTAGGGTGATTTTATGAGTGTGCATGTCGAAGTGCTCGTACGGTATTGGCCTATGTGCATCCGGTTTTGTTGTGTGCACGCACCGTACCAGGAGACCCAGCGTCGCGATGTGGTATTCTTCTCTGCGCGTCTGCCTGTATTTCGCGTACCTGTGAAGTGGACAAGTCATCGCCTGGGATGTGACTATAGCCCCAATCAAATGAATGCACACGTCTGCTATCCGCACATTGTCCAAGTATTCTATCGCAATATCAGACCGTATGTTTATACAGGTCATTGCTCGACGCACACAACAAGGATGAATGTTCTGGCTAAAGACCATCCCATCCCACAAACCCACCATACCGCCCCTCAGATAAGCAGACCCAGCAACACACGCACTTTGCACCGCACGACACAAGCGCCGAGGCCGCCGCAACCGTAGTCGTGCCCCCGTCGGCACAGTTGGCTCGTGTGCACACACCCACACAAGAGGGTGAGTTCTACGACGCCCTGTCCGCAACCGCGTGGGCAACGGTGTGCATGCAAGTGCTGGGCCACCAGCTGGATCTGTGGGACACGCTGCTGCGTACGCCCATGCTCACCCAGGCACAGGCGATTCTGAGCGAGCATTTCGCACGGTACGTGTGTATTTGATGTGGGGGTGTGGGAGTGTTGACCGAATGTAACCCTTTGTGTATGGTGTGTTTCTTTTTTGTTTGTGGTTTGCTTTGTATGTCTTCGCTGATGGGGGTGTTTTCTTTGTGAGACCTGATAGTTTTAAGCTGGATGTGTACTCGCCCATAAACACCTTAGGAGATTTCAACAGTGAATCGCGGAATGCGTTCGATGTGCTGCGTATACTTTTGCATTTGTGTATGTGTATGTGTATTCATACGGTACCGTCCACTCTACCTTTGCAACTACAGTGTAAGTGGACTGGTCATGGACACGGCCGTGGACGTGAGCGCTGAAAGTGTGAGTCTCGAAATAGACGGCCGCACTGTGGGAGTCAGTGCGCAGTGGCAAGAGCAAGACATTGACCTGTCGCCTGTGAGCAAGGAGGAAGTCACGCTCACACCCCGTGCCAGAGAGTTTCTGATTGCCCTCAAACGAGGCCAAACGTTCCTAGAAGGTGTGCAGTGCGTGTCAATATGTGTTTCTGTTTGTTTGGTAATTGCCAGCGTAGGAGACGCGGGGCTCAGTTCAATAACGCTATCATGCATTGGCCTGTCGTATACTGTGAATGGCTGTGTAAGTTATCGATCCCGCCCCTCATATTTCAGCACAGGTATTTCATGCACTCATTGGATACTACCTTGACTTGAATGGGTGTCCGCCGGTGTATAATTTTTTTTCAGTAACACTCGTTCGTGATGTTGTATACCACACAGGCTTATAATTTGTTCTGGATAGGCTTATACTCGTATGGAAACCACATGTCACATCTATTTTTTTTACCTCACACTTATCAATTCTTGCAGACGATCCTGCTAAAGCAGACGATGACTCGGCAGATGACAGTGGTGTGGATGTGACTGAATTTGCGCTCCCGAAAGTGGCCAGTCAAGCAACGACGTACATTACTCTCAAGGCGTCCAGTATATCTCTCTCAGTATATGGTGTTGTGGCGGTAGGTTTGTTTGTATAGCGCGGCATGGGTGATAATGTACATTACTTGCTGGACAGTGTTTTGTGGTTCTTGCATCTTGAATTTTATCTTTGTACATCTAAGATTGCGTTAGTTTCAGTCCGGAATAGAAAAGCACATTGTTTTCGCCACTTTCAGCCTATGTGTATGTGTACCACTAGAGCTCATGTTTGCACTCATCCATAGTGTGCATATAAACCTAAGAGTCGGTGTGTTTCTTTTGGGACGACTGCCAATTCTTTTTACCGGGTAGGTTGCATAAAAATGTTGACTACGAGATGGTTCAGCTTTCAGCTATAGGCTATGGTATTCCAACAAGCGCACAAACTTATCAGCACACACTCCATCACCAGACATACAGACAGTATACAATAGATGGCCTTACATATCAAGATTGTCATTTGCTTGTTGTCCCTTCTCAGGTATTTGATCTGCTGGTAGATGCCATTGTATATGACGCCCAGGGCTACTTGGGCCTCGAACCTTACACCGGCACTACCGGCCAACGTGGGTCTAAGGCGCGAGTTCAGGAAACTCACAGCATCAATCAGCATTTACTATCACTCACCAAGGGCCAGCAGGCGCACGTCCACTTGCAGTCACCATCAGCGCAAGGTATACAAGTTTTTCTGCTCTCGTTTTGGCATGTGGTGCATGAGTGTGTTAGCTCGAATTAGCGGTCAACCCCAGCTGACCATGCAAGTGTGGGAGACCATCTACCACCCCACACCTGATCTACGTTGCGTCAATATAGGTTTAAATTGCCGTGATCAACCTATACTTCGCCATTACCATCGAACTACACGTGTCTCGTGCCTATTGCGCCTTCCGTCCACTGTGCAAACTCGCCCATACAATACCATCTCATTCCATCCCATCGCATTGCATCGCAGGCCTCACCCACACTCGCAACAGAAACTACGACCTCGCGCTGAGCGATCCCACGCGGCGTAACGACACCTCCAGTCCTCACGCACGATCGCCCAGCAACACTGACAGCGCCAGTGTAGACGCAAGCCGCCGCAGTAGCGAGACGGGCAGCGGGTTTGTGAATGTGGGCAAGGTGTGGCTGGATAGTGTCAGTGCCGATGCCTTGGTCATGAGCGAGCGCATGGGCGGCGAGTGCGGGCTGTGTGTGCAGGCACTCAGCGCCAAGCTACAGGCGCTGCTGCAGGAGACGGCCAACGTCCCGGTTGCAGATAACAACGGAGATACCACAGGTACGTTAAAGAGGAAATGGCGAGGGAGAGGATTGTTATGGGACAGTGGTGCATTAATGTTTGTTGGTGGATTGGTACTTGGTTGCGAGTGCGCGTGTTTACGGTTGTTGTCGCGGGCGTATCCGATGGGAATGATAGTCGTTGGTTTGTATCGTTTTGCGTGCAAGCCCAGGTGGTAGCACGAAGTAAGAGTATCACTATACGGTGAATTAAACCACAGATGTCGCATTTGAATCTTGTGATGATTGCGTATATCACTATTGAAAGAAAACTTGAGGGTCGTCGTGTGTACGTGTTGGATAGCCTCGTTTTAATATTGTATTTTCGTGTATGTACATAGGGGAAGTTCAGAGAGACAAGCTCTTATTTTAAGCGCTGGTATATGTCTCAGATACTGACACCGCCCTGTGCAAAGCAAGCTTATAAGGAGAGACAACAGGACTTGCCCTGCACGCAGTACCCCACTGCTATGAGTTTTCATTCAGGAGTGTTCCATGGACGTGTTCTTGTGATTGGTAGGTGCTGGTATTCGACCGGCACATGCATTGGGAGGTGAACATGTGCACATGCACTTGTCGTGTGGATTTTTGAGATACGCCCGGTGTTTCACACTCCCAAAAAAACAACCCAATTTATATCGTTACATAGAATTGGAATCCATCGTAGGCAGGTCAAGCGTTTGTCGTTATTTTTATGAATATAGGCGCAATTGTTGTGAATCCGGCTTCAACCGAATGAAGCTGCCCCGTCTTTCCAGAAATAGAGTAGTTACCTTAATCACCTGCCTGTCGCCGGAATCACCTGCCTGCCATCGTAATCACCTGCCTGTCACCGTAATCACCTGCCTGTCACCGTAATCACCTGCCTGTCACCGTAATCACCTGCTTGTCACCGGAATCACCTGCCTGCCATCGTAATCACCTGCCTGTCACCGTAATCACCTGCCTGTCAC